AGTGTTGGATGCGTTGATGAAGGAGGCATGCAGCAGTGCCAAAGAGGGAAAAGAACGACAATCCTGATGGTCCTAACGGTCACACTGATAACTATGTCGGCGCTTCAATGAGGCTGGTTAAGAGCTAAGAAGCAAAGCCAGGTTTGCTACTGATAGGATGTCAGGGACGACTCTCGTAATCACCATTAACATGTGATCGACTTTAGGAACAACTCTGTCTTCAGACGATGAAGGCGTTCAATTGGCGACGATGGAACTCCTGCTTGAGCGCTTGAAACAATGTAAACAGGAACCTCTTTCCTCAGGCTTGTTTAATGCCCAACAAATGTTTAACGTAACATACAACGGAAAATTCGAAGACCTGCCTGCTACCTAGAAGATTTTCGGTAACTCTAACGAACTCTGTCAAAGTCAAAAGCCATGGTATTATAACTTGATTGATAACTTTTCGCGCTAGACAAAGGTTTCAGCTTGTTAGAAAAGAAAAAATATATGAACCGTCTTCGAATAAGATGAAAAATTAAGATCTCGCTTGACGAAGACTAAGGGCAAGATAACAGAGACGAAAAGGCCGATAGAACTTATTCTATAAATTGTATGCAATGCCACGTTCCACGTTTTATACTGATCAAAGCGCCAGATCAATACCAACAAGGGTGGCAGAATATAAAACAACAGGCATAATCACCAACCGAACTACAGAAGGAAAGCCACAATTGAAAACAAGCCTGGCGACCGTTCTTCGCCAAATTGCCACTAGACAGAGAGTAGATTTTAAGGGTCCAACCATAGTAACAACGTTTGGTAACTATAAAGAACGTTTAGATGCACAAGTGCTCTTAATCAAGATAAACCCAACGTCATGTGAACAAAGATGATGGCGTTTATATCTATAGTTATGCAAATTTCCGACAAAGAAAAAAAGCAATTCCAATTACATCTTGATAATCTTGTACTGTCGTATCACTGCACATTGCTTGCAGTTGACAAAAGCTGGTAATATCAGCTGAAACCTCGGTCCAGCATTTAATCGCATTTGTTATACATATACCCGTATAAATAACCCACTGCGCAGTACCTAAATGCATAGCATCTGAGCGTAGTCATGAAGTAGCATTAAGTCAATACAGACAAATTATAAGTTTTACAAATGGCTTGCATAGATAGTTACTGAATGCGCAGTTCAGGGCGTATTACAGAAATGTTATAAGAACTGGTTGACCAAGTGGTTTCACTTACACGGACAGCGAATGATCCAATTATCAGACGTATCGCCTACGCAGTGCAAACGGAGATAACAGTCTATAACGGCTACCACGTAAGTAATGCAAAGGCGTGTACATATGTAAATATGGCCGAGACAAAAGTGAACCATGAATTAATCAACCATAGGCACTAGGTATTTCGATAGTATCACCTCCCATTGCAGCATGGAAACCGGCTACGCGCATCGCTTATACAAGCCGTGACAAAGGTAAGCTCTGACAACTTTAATTTTTAAATAAACATCTTTTTCAATACAATCAGGATTCGAAAGCAAGTATTGATTTTGGAACTTGAAAACACGAAGATACACGTATACTGCCACTGAAAATAATAGCACCCTTAAGATTTTTCAGCAGCCGAATCCATCAATTCTAAGTCCTCAAATTCCCTGAGGGATGAGGCGCAAGTTTCACGGTCTTTGCAATGGACGTGGTTCTCCACCAACAGAAACACAAGACGGGCTGAATTGCAAGCTATATCGTCCCCATCTAGTCCCTTTGCCATCAGTTTTCATCATTGATGCCGTATGTTTTAAAGCGCAAAATTTTCACAACATATACGCATTACACAAACACAGTACAGAATTATAAATGAAATGTTTATCCAATGGACGTTGGTCAGCAGGTCAATTTCATCAACATCAACGACAAATGAAAATGTTTGAACGACCGTATCAGCCAATATAAAACCGTTTTAACACATTAAGAAAGTGCTAACCGTTCGTCGCCTTCTTCGAATAACTGAAATTCCTAATTCAAATCCCGAAAGAAAACAAAAACCACCACATTAATAAAACAATAAGAATTAAAACACAAATGGAACTATACTAATAACGAAATAACCACTGAAGCTATGATCGAAATAGTCAACCAGAGAAAAGAACTACCTGCATCACTTTGCCCGTTCAACGATGCACTACAGCCATAAGAACTCAACTGCAACAGAAAAAAGACAGCGGCGAGTTCGGCAGACACGTGCGCCGAAGGCGACACCGAGCAAATGTACTGATACGGCGTGGATTCTAAGGTTCGTATGATGAATATTTCATGAAACGATATTTAACTACGATGGAGCAGAATGTATAAGTTCAAAGGTTCACGAAGGAAAGATATAATATAAGCTATTAATAGTTATATAAGCTATTCAAGATCGACATTATGCATACCACTTCAAACTTTCAAACGCGATGACAGATCAGCCAGCACCAGCTTAGCCAGAGATAATTTGTATACATACAGACGGCTCGTAATAATGCCTGCTGATCACTATGCAACTACAGCAAGAATCCAATAACAGGCGCTTGACGGATCCTTGGGCTTACGTTTTGCTTCACCATGGCTGAGAATGAAGAACCGAAAATTAGAAAATAAAATTGCATATTTTAGCCGTTCAATTACTACTTAATTTACACAGCAAAAACGCATCGCCCCTTTGCTTCTAGTCGCTCTAGGGAGAACATTTAAGCAGGTCACGACTTTGTGATATTTAAGCACCTGTGAAGCAAAACCTTACTTCTGAGTCTGACTGACAAATGACATGATTAGGAACCAAGCAGAATTTGTACCGTCAATTTGGAAATTATACAAACAAGATATGATAAAGTATAACTTGATGTTTCCAAATAGCTTCCATAAAAGGGAGCTTTCCAATTTTGGTGGTAAATGACACATTTTAATTACAGATACCGAATAAGCGGTAAAGATTGCTTTTGATTGGAGTTTTAAAAAACTGGGTCTCTTCTTTACGGCGATAATGACAATGAAGAATGAACCAGTCAATGGATATTTTTTTCTGTAATAGTTACTACGGTAAATGACGCGGCAGTTATAAAGGGAACTAAGCACTTCTTTGGAATTACATTTCTCGATTAGTTTGGTGAACTATGTGAAATGCATGTGGCACATTAAAGCTCAAATACCATATAGCCATAGCCTGATTACACGGCACTCTTGGGCAACTGGAAGCAGGGCCTAGTGCAGTACGCCGTAAAATTCAGTCTTGAAGAAGTCATTGGTATTGGATATACTCATGCATGCGAACAGGTTATTAACATGTGCATGCATTAATGCATGAGAAGTACCAGCTCCCGAAGCACTGTCCGCGATGAGCACCAGTTCTAGCGAATGATATGATGCTGGCTGACTTTGACACTGCAGCCATCAAATAGGTATGATCAGCTGAATGGCCTTCCTAGGCATCTGGGAACAATGAGTTAGTGCAATGTTGTAAAAGCTGGTCTGGGAAAAATCATTCGTTATTGTGTATTGAAATCAGTACAGGTTTATTTAACGTAAATAATTTTTGACGGATTGACGAGTATGCGCGCATGTATAGTCCTGACAAAGATCCTTCGCGACAACGCTAATCATGGAAACAAGCAATCTGTAGAATGAGTGATATTTGGTGCCGTTGCTCTGCTTGAATAAGAAGCTTTTTGGAAAAGTTATTGCGGCTTGAATATGATAGTGTTATGGTGACAGTTGTGATATTTTATACAACGACGCATCTCCCCTCAAATAGAACAGCTTTTATATTAAATTTACTAATATTGCAAAAGCGGCAGTCAGGTCGATATGGTTTGGGTTTCTTCTCGCTTATTGATATTACTGTCGGTTGGTTTCACTATAATTACTTTCAGAATCTTTCGCTGCCTATAGTTTAATTCATTTCGGATTATTTCTAATAAACAACATGATGTTGAACTCCATCATTGCCCAGCATTCGTCACTGAACATTAAACTGGGTCTTCACTCTTCTTGGGAAGGACTCAAGAGATTACAAGCTATGCTTGCCATTTGGCTGTAGACTGTACTTTTAAAAATAAGATACTCCTGCCTGATGACATATATCGGAGATCAGCATCACACTATTAACTTCATGGAAAGAAGGGCGCGATAATGACCCAATCACGAAAGGACGAAAAACCGACATTCCAACTAACTACTGAACATTACTTTTCCGTTCTGCCTATAAACACTGGAGTCCCACATTATTTTTGAATTTTTGCCCAGTTTCTTCACCGTAAGTATCGCTATCAGTTCAATAGAGCCGATAAAATGCCCCGAAGATAACCCGGGGTGCTGATTTTATCTAATGCAGAAAACCCAGGGGCTTCTTTCGTAACCAGCAAACTGTCCTACTCAGTGCATTTGCATTTTACCTTCTATTCAAATCCTATTAGCACCGAATCACGAATAAGACAAAGTTGTCTCATTCAAAATGATTTTGTTCAGCCTCTGGCTGACCTTTAGGAACTGTTCGTATACGAAGTGTTCCTGTAGTTGATGCCCTTAACTCAATAATACAATATCTCTTTTACTCTGCACTTGACATCTTAGTGTTCAATGACGAAATAAAATCATTTAAACAAGAAGCAAAATAACGAACTAAATTGATTGATTGTTCATCAACGCGATTAATATTTAACCTGTGGGAAGGCAACCTCTTGCACCGTACATATGGTCTACTACGATACTATCGCTTCCTCCTATGTATTTTTTGAATTAACGATTCAAGTTCACACCTAATCTTTTATTTAATAAATTGTTCCATATCACCAGGGGGACTCTTCCAATCTGCGTAACTTCAGTATTGCTTTAAAAAATCACCTTCATTTCGCATTTTCTTGTTATTCCATAGAACCTGTTAGGAAGGTTCGTTTTCGAAAGTTTATTTGCAGAATTGACATCACAGCTCTGCCGTTAAATATACAAGTAAAAATGTATTAGCGACTGTCACTGATGCAAATTATTCGAAACGGAGTTGGTCGATTTCAGCCATACACTGGGCACCCACTGAGGTTCACTTTCAAGTCTGTGAATGACCAGCCTCAGTTCGTGGAAGCTCTGCTCCAAGTCGTAGTTAACGATAACTTTATCGAAGTAGTGTCCAAACTGTTCTTCGGCTTTCTTGGCCTCAGCAACAATCGCCTTCAGCTCATCCTCCTGAAACGAAAGGTATTTCGTTGGAACACATGGCGTATTCTAATAATATTCTTACCTTGACGTTACCGTTGATTCCTTGTCTCTGTTTGCTCATTTTGAGCCGCTCCAAGGACGTAGGGGCAATAAATATCACATACGGCATTAGATCAGAATTGCGAAGAACAGGAATGCTCTACAAAGGCAAAAATATTAACCCATGGTTTCCAACACCTGAAGACTATTCCTAAAAAACTAAATAATCCCATCATTTGAATGTTCTAAACAGTTTGACGCCCAAGGAAACATGTCAAGAAGATACACAGTTTATTGCTAACACATCAATAAGAAGTCACTCGCAGGACCAGATTTCGCCTGGACCTGAAGTGAACTAACCTGTCGACTAATCCTTTTCAATGCGAAAAAATTGCTAACAAAATCAGTTACACGATGACGGTTGGCAGATATGGAGGGACGAGGTAATAGGTTACTAGTAGCTTTACAATTTACAGGCTAATGGTTTAACGCTCAGGCTAGGCATAAATTTTTTCTCATTAACTACCACTTCCACTGATAACGTTATTCACTCCAGTGTGAATTCGGTGCAACCAGCCAAAAAACGGGTAGCGGGTCGCTGACCTGTGAATTGTAGGGACCGCATGGTGTTTTGGTGCGGTCATGCCAAAGAATGCGAGGCTTACGGTTATGTTGACTGATGCCTGTGCCTTCGCTTGCCTAACAGCTGACAGACTAGAAGCCAGCACAAGGTGTAAATGAAAATATCGAAAATCTTATCTCAGGTACTACAAACTTCATACTTTCTCCTCTACAAAATATCTAATTAACACTTCTACTGCATCTGTCGCTTTAACGTACTCGCTATGCTTACCTGAGGTTTAAGGGTAAGAACGCAGGTCCTGCCTCGTTGTATAACCCGCCGGATCTCTCCGAAGCTTGTTCCATACAAGTGCTTCTGGTACTCTCCCCATTCGACAAATTTTCCCGAAGTGGCGTCTTCCTGAAACGCTTGTTTGCTGACAAAATAGTACGGAACACCATCGCGCTCATTCGGCTGCTTTGGACGCGTTGTGTCTAAAATTGAACCACGGTAAATTTTCAGATACTTCTTCGTAACAGACCAGTTCATCATCATTACGTTTATTAGTTTGTGTTATGGCAGATAATTCTACTGCATTTATCAGCCATAAATGAGAAACAAACATGAATATGAAATGACCAGAAAATGAAAGGAAGACAGAGACGAAGACGATGTTGCAACGTGATATTCCACTACACGGCAAATTATATAGTACTAGAATTCAAATATAGGAAAGTGTAACTTTTCACTTATAACATGGTTATTACTAAACTGTTAAAATTGTGTCATCGTCATCTTAAGGAACTGATGACGCATGTAGAAACAACCGAGCCAAAGTCAAAATGACGAGGCTGGATATCCACCCAACTTTGTGGGCAGGGTCTCCGTTAGAAACGAGGAACCGGCAACTGGACGACATTAAGAGGGAACACCTCAGTAACATGACAAGATGGCGCAACGCCAGTCTACATCAGAATGAACAAGTATAGAAAAGGAAAGGGTGAAGGCAATGGAAAGATCCGCAGGTGGTAAAGAATGAATGCGAAAAGAACTTTGCGGCAATGAAACATGCGGTACTAGACGACGTGGCATAACACGGGACGAAATGAAAAGAATAGATAGAGAGTTTTAAGACGGAAAATAGATCCGTGAGGAAAGGAAGCCGTGGCAAATCAATCAAATCATTGATCAAAGAACAAAGATGTTGGTGCAGAACTAAATTCGCACTGTAATGAAATTATGAAGCAGCTTCTACTACCGAAGTTAAAAGCATCGCAATGAAGTTG